CCTCAACACATCTGACAAAGTGCCAAGCGGCGTCGACGAGACTCATCAATAGCGACAGCAATGATGCAGAGTAACAGCCAAGCCGACTTTTAGTAGCTGCCGTAAAAAATGTTATTTAAATATCAGTGAAAACAGGTAGTGGTACCTTGCATTGATTTTCTCCGAAGAACATTCAATGATGATTCGGCTATCAACATATCTCAAAGTAAGTAAATCTAGAAAACGTTTCAGTGAATGAAATGCGAATGCTGCCGTACTCTCTTCACGTTCTGTTCGAGCTGGTGATTTGTTCGTTTTTGGGTCTTCTGAAATCAAATAAGCTCATTTGCTGCAAAAAAAATCTCAAAAAAAATACTTGAAAATCAAAAAAAGTAAAAAAAAACCAAAAAAAAGTAAAAAAAGCAAAAAAAGTAAAAAAAAATCAAAAAAAAGATAAAAATTTCCCAAAAAGTACCACTGGCAACGACGTCACGCACGCCCATCAGGCGTTCAACACCGGAGACATACCGCACTGGTTCATCCTTCGGATTTTGATTTTCTTTTTCCAGGCGTTTCGAAAATTTGGTTAATTTCGCGATCAGATGTGATTGTTCAATGTACTCGAGCAAATCAAATAATCTGTACTGTGAGAGATTTGTCTGAAACAAACAAAACTCATTCAATTTCAGACAGAGTTCCCAATGGCTACCTAAGAAAGCATATCTTATTTCCCCGTTTCCGTGAGCACTACAGCTCAGTTCAACCATATCTTATCAGCTAAGCCTACCTTATCTGTTGCAAAAGGAAGAAGGTGTTAGCAGCAGGAAAACGAGGTTGGTGGCTAAATCGTTTCGCCTTGCCCAGTTGTCCATCGATTTCATGTGTTATGCAAATGTCCCGTCTCCTGACTCCAGTTCTCCCTTCGTTATATTTAATGTGGTGATTAGAAATGAAATAGGGATTGTTCTTTGTGTCCCAGAAATTGTGCGGCGACAGCTTGGAGCTGCTATTGTCTGATGGTAGCTTGGAGCTGCTGCTGGGTTTTTTCGCGGTTTTTTTTCTTTTTTTTTCGACTTTTTGGTTCTGCGATTCTTTACTAATAAAAGATGGTTTATTAGTCTGGGCGAGAGCCAACCCCGACAGCCGTTCGGGCCGCGGGGCGACCCCCTTCTCGTTACATATCACATGACCTGACATTACATGATTCCTCGCTTATCCCGATCTGATTAGCTTGATATTTTCACTTATTACGTGTTTTTTGCTTCTATGCAATGCAGAAAAAGCATATTGACGAGGGGTTGTCTGTGTGTGCGTCTGTATCGATTTTTCATCTCAAGTCCTATAAAAGCTGCAGGGCTGAAACTTTGGGAAATTAATCTATCTGCACGTACGGGCCTAATTCCCAAAATGGGCGTTCTTACCGGCGTATTGGCCCGCCAAAGTTTTTTACGAGTAAGCTACCAACTCGGGAGCCAGAGAAACTGGAAAGCTGAAATTTTAATGGAACGTTCCCCGCTAACGTAGGTATTAAGGAGCTGAAATTCAGGCCGTGGATATGCATGGTACCCACGTATGGGCCCTTGAAAATTTTCTTCTGGTAATTTGTTAACTTGGGAACCAGGAAAGCTAGAAAGCTGAAATTTTAAAGGGGTGTATTCTGACAGTTCTGGTGGCCAGTCTTAATTTGTTTAGCTAGAAGCATTTGTCGGAAAAACCAGTGTCGGTAGCGACAAAAAATGCGAGGAACTATGTAAAAAACGCATCTTCGCACCGGTAGCTGGTGCGTTGGCCCAATTATTTTGATAATTTGAGGCACAAAAACTGCTGTAAATTTAATCCAAACGGATGCAAACGACTGATGGACCTTTACAGAGAACATGGCTGTCTCTTCGACGTGATCCTGTTTTGTGTCGGTGACTTCATGACAGATATATCTCAGTATCTGCTCTGTTAGGCTCATAATTTGCCGTAAAAACTTTAGATGCACGGGACGAAGCCGAGTGCGGTAGCGATCGATGTAGATGCTGAAACACTGGGGAAAAATTAGAGATAACAACGCAGCAGAACTGCATGAATTCCGGTTAAGTATCAAATGTTAGTATTTAAACTGAATATTAAACTGTACTAAATATTAAATTAAATATTGGATACTAAATCAAATATTAGATATTAAATTAAATACTAAATATTAAATTAAATATCGGATACTAAATTAAATATTAGATATTAGACATTAAATCAAACATTAAATATTAAATTAGACATTGGATACTGAATCAAATATTAAATATTAAATTAAATATTGGATGTTAAATTAAACATTAGATATTAAATTAAATATTAGATATTAAATTAAATATAAGATATTAAATTAAATGTTAGATGTTAAATTAAATATCAAATATTAAAGCGGAGAGATACTTTAGCGATTCCTTTAAAAAAAATTGAAAATTAGGGGAAGAAAAAGGAGAAAAAAAAGAAACTGGAGACCTTTTGCTAAAATAATCAGCATAAAATTCATTAGCAAACTAATTAGGGGAATTAACAAAGAAAACTATTAATAAAAATAGTAAAACTGTTTTACTAAAATTATTATAATGGTAAGAAATTTATTCGGCCCATTAAGTCGTATACATTTCTTACCATTACCACGATTCGGGATTAAGCAAAGGCACAAATTTCTCCATATATTTTGTTCGCTGCAAAAAAAAGCGCGTTCTCACTTTAATACTCTTCGTATATTCTGTAAAGCATTCACAGACAATGTTGCCGAATGGGAGTTCGTGATTATTTCCAGCAAATTATGCGCTTCATCAATTACAACAACATTGTCTCTGAGGTCCAGTCCCCATGCTTTGCGTGCATCTTCTTGCAACAAAACCTGTAAATCTGGTCTTAATCCAAAGCAAAAAAATAAAAAATAAAAAAACTTCGATAAATAGCGATTCTTCAGGTTTTTATAGCGATTTTTTCTTGAGATAAATAGCGATTTTTTGTGAAACAACCTGATATGGGCACATTATCAATTGGCTGTAAGGCACTGCTTTTCGTGTACCAAAATATGGGCAGCCAGAGATTTTTTTGCCATTATCGGCCAAATCTGCAATGCCAGAGAGTTTGTTTGCGAGCAGTCCATCACAGAGATCTTCAATTGCATCACTTCTAGTAAACGGGCACGATTTCCCGCATGAACTTTTGGCACACTGAAACTATGGAATCTTCAGTAACAGGCTTAATTTTGAGGAATCCAAAAATATTTCCCCCCCTGCCACCAAAAAAGAGAAAAAATCCAAAAACCTTAGTTCCGAAGAATCAAAAAATCTCCCCTTGAAAAACCTCCCATTCAAGAAAATCCAAAAAACCAGAAATCCAAAATCCCATTCAAAAAATCCAGAAAACCAAAAATCGAAGAAAAAAGAATCATTTTTGAACTCCCATTCGGTAGATCCCTCTCCCCCCCCCCCCCCCCCCCCCCC